CAATTTGGCTTCCTCTTTTTCAATTTGGATGCTCTTTATTCTTTTCTGTTGCCTAATTGCTCTGGCTAGGACTGCCAGTACTATGTTGAATAAGAGTGGTAAGAGTGGTCATCCTTGTCTTGTTCTGGTTCTTAGAGAAAAGCTTTCAGTTTTTCCCCAATCAGTGTATTGTTAGCTGTGGCTTTGTCTTATATGGACTTTAGCGTGTTGAGGTATGCTTCTTTTATATCTAGCTTGTTGAGGGTTTTTATCATGAAACATTGTTGAATTTTATCAAATACTTTTTACATCTGTTGAGATGATCTTTTTATTCTTCATTCTGTTGAGATGGTATTTTTATTCTTCATTCTCTTTGTGATGTGTCACATTTATTGATTTATATATGTTGAACTATTCTTGCATCCCTGGGATAAATCTCACTTGTATCCTCTTGCTGAATTGATCTCTTTTTCTTTACATAATAACCTCCTTTGCCTCTTTTTATACTTTTGACTTAAAAAATCTGTTTAATCTCATGTAAGCATAGCTACTCCTGTTTGCTTTTGGTTTCTGTTTACATGGAATATCTTTTTCCATCCCTTCACTTTGCATCTATATGTGTTTCCACAGGTGAAGGAAGATTCTTGTAGGTAGCACACAAGTGGGTCATTTTTTAAAGATCCATTCAGCCAGTCTATCTTTTTTTTTTTTTTTTTGGCAAAGCCTCACTCTGTTGCCCAGGCTGGAATGCAGTGGTGTAATCTCGGCTCACTGCAACCTCTGCCTCTCAGGTTCAAGTGATTCTTCCACCTCAACCCCTCAAGTAGCTGGAACTATAGGCATGTGCCACCACGTCTGGCTAATTTTTTTCTGTGTGTTTATTTTTAGTAGAGATGGGATTTCACCATGTTTGCTAGGCTGGTCTCAAACTCTTGACCTTCAAGTGATCAGCCTGCCTCAGCCTCCCAAAGTGCTGGGATTACAGGCATGAACCCTGTGCCCGGCCTCAGCCAGTCTATCTTTTAAGTGGGGAATTTAATCCATTTACATTCAAGGTTATTATTGATAGGACGGGAGTGACTCCTGTCATTTGTAAATTGTTTTCTAGATTATTTTGTGTATCCTTTGTTAATTTCTTCTTCTATTATTGTTTATTATTGTGGTTTGGTAGGTTTTTGTAGTATTGAGGCTTGATCCTTTTCTTTCTCCTTTGTGTATCTGCTCTGCCAGTGAGTTTATACTTTTCTATGTTCTCATTATTGTGATTATCATCTTTTTGCTTCCAGATGTAGGACTCCCTTGAGCATTTCTTGTAGAGCCAGTTTAGTGGTGATGGGTTCCCTCAGTTTTTGCTTTTCTGGGAAAGACTTTGTTTCTCCCTCATTTCTGAATAATAGACTTGTTGGGTATGGTATTCTCAGTTGACAGTTTTTTTCACCCCTTTCAGATACATGGACTACATCATCACTTTCTCTCCTGGTCTATAAGATTTCTGCTGAGAAATTTACGGTTAGTCTAAGGGGAATTCCCTTATATGTGACCTAACACTTTTCTTTTACTGTTTTGAGAATTTTCTCTTTGTCTTTGACTATTGACAACTTGACTATAATATACTTCAGGAAGCACCTTTTTTGGGTTGGATCTATTTAGGGACTTGAGCTTCCTGGATCTGAATATTCATATCTCTCCCCAGACTTGGTATGTTTTCAGCTATTATTTCATTAAGTAGGTTTTCTATACCTTTTTACATCTTTTTTCTTTCTGGAGCTCCTATAATATGAATATTTATTCGCTTAATAGTATCCCATAGGTTTTGTAGGCTTTCTTTACTCTTTTTCATTTTTATTTCTTTTTTTCTCTCACTGGGTAATGTCAAACAATTTATCTTCAACTTCAGAGATTCCTTTTTTCTGCTAGATCAAATCTGCTGTTGAAACTCTTCATTATATTTTTAAATTTCATTCTTTGAATTTGTTAGCTATGTTTCTTTTTTGTGATATCTATTTCTTCATTGAATTTCTCATTCATATCATGTATTATTTTTCTGATTTCATCAAATTGTCTATCTGTATTTTTTGAATTTCATTAAGTTTCCTTAAGATCATTATTTTGAATTCCTTTTCTGACAATATATTGATTTCTTTTTAATTGGGGTCTGTTTCTAGAGAGTTATTATGTTCCTTTGGTGTTGTCATATTTTCTTGCTTTCTTCTTGTTCCCTGTGTCCCTGCATTGAGGTCTGTGTGTCTGGTTGAACAATTGCTTCTTCCAAACTTTCTAGAGTGACTTTCTTAGAGAAATACTTTTACCTTGGTTGAATTTTAATGAGCCAGTTGGGAAGGGTGGTTCTTGTAAGTTCAGTGGTATAGTCTTTGTGCAGCTTCTTTGACTGTGTTTGACATCAGCAATAACTATGAACATATCAGTGGCCTAGACTACAGAAGTTTGTGGTAGTGGTGGTGGCAGCATAGGTTGTTAATGTCCTTGGTGGCAAGGGCTGCTGTGGCAAGGGCTATTCTATTCTTATTTTCCCCATAATGGGAAGACTTAGCTGAAGGGCTCTCTCTTGGTGTCAGGTCTGACATGGCATAGAAGCAGCTGCCAAGGCACTGGATTTCAAGTACAGGTGCTCAAAGCAACTGTGGGGCAAGTTTTTACTTAGACTCAGGGTCTTGTGAACCTATAGTGGCACTTCAGTCTTGGGATGCAGAGTGGTCTCTGTGTCAGGGCTGGATATAGGTTGCCCATGGTGCCTATCAGCTTGGCTTCAGGGGGTCAGGTTGTAACTGTAATTCTACCCCTGGTGGGCAGGGTGCAGCCCTGGTTTAACTTGGAAGAGAAAGAAGGGCTCTGGAAGTGTGAAACCAGAGTGCAAGATATGGCTGTAATTGCTGTAATTTGGGAAACTGCACCAATAGAGCTCAGTGGCAACTTGGATCCCTAGGGGTGAGGAATTCTGTAGTGGTGATTCTAGACTCTGCAATGGTGGGACTTGACAGTATCCCAGTCTCTGTGAGGCCAGATGCAGCAGCAGCAAGCTCCCCAAAATAATCAAGCACATGGTTTTTGGGCTGTACCAGGGCAGGGAGCAGCACAGCAATGACTCTACTCCCTGGGAGAAGAGTGTCTCAGGAGCTCAGACTCAAGGGGCCTACTCCAGCTCTAAAGAAGCAGAATACTAGAGCTGTCTAGCCAGTAAGGTGGGGTGTCTCAGCCAGCCACTGCTGTATTTCCCTGGGACCTAGGATACTATGTCAGCACAGCCCTAGGACATACAGCTGCTCAGCTTGGCTGAGGCACTGATTCCCCAGCAGGCAATGTGCCACTCCAGTTCAGTCCTGAGGGATGTGACTATTCTAGATAGCCTCAACACCATTGTCTTGGGATATAGGGCTCTGCCAAAAGCATTGTTCACTTAGGAACTGAAACTAGTGCAGTTTCGGCTCAGGCCCCTATTGGTAGGGTGCTGCCTAGTGTGAGAGAAGTGGGTGGAGCTGTTTTACCAAAGTACTGATTCTCCAGGAAAGAGTGTACAGCTTCAGCTCTGGAATGAGTGGGTAGGGGATGGGGATGTGGAGTGGTTCCACTGCTGCTTGGCCCCATGGGGAAAGGTGTAACAGTTGCTCACAGCTCTGCTTGGAGATGTCAGGTCACTGAGTGGTGGTGTCTCAGCAGCAGTTTACCCTCAGGGATGAAGGAGTGAATGGCTACTCACCCCCAGAGCAAGACACATACCAACAGTAGTCCCGGTTCCAAGATGCCAAGATGGTGTAGCACAGTAGCCATGCAGGCCACAGGGGATGGGGCACAGTATTGGCTCCATCTCTAAGGGGCATAGTTGTGTGCCTGTAGGCAGCTCCCTCAGCTGGGCTTAGTGCCTGTGAGAGCTGTAGGAGATCCCAATGGTGATGATGGTAGGTATACAAGGTGCTGATAGGGGCTACTGGGATCTTCTTGCTTACCTTTTGCTGTAGGGAGAAGTTCTTCCTGGTTTCCAGCTGCTCTTAGCTGGGCAATGGAGTGCTGGGATCCCAGGGTTTCCTTCTGTTCTCTATCTGGCTATCCTGAGTTTCTGTGCTTACCAGAGTTTCTGTTTCTCCTTTGATATAATCCTGCACTCTCCTTTAGTTTTTAAAAAAGTATTGTTGTTTATTCTTTGTTGTAATTGTTTTTGTGCAGAAGATGAGTGTCAGGGATTTCTAATTGGCCATCTTGCTGACATCACACTAGGAAATATGTTATTAACTCATATAATACTCACAATAATTCTGTACAATATGTACTAATATTATTTTTCCCTGCCTTTTTTTCTCTTGTGGAGAAAATTGAGGCAGAGAGGTAGGTTTGCCCTTAATTACGTTTTAAATTATAGAGTAAATATTCTGTGGCTTCAGAGTGGTAAACACTGTAATACTTTAACATTTTCAAAGCACATAACATTTTTTTCTCTTGGTTTACAGAGCTATTCAGAGTGTGGTAAGTGCAATAATCATTCACAACCGCTTTTAACAAATACAGAAGTAAAGTAAAGCAATTTGCCCAAAGTCACAAAAACAAGTTAGTAAGTTATGAAATTAATTACATGCATGGAATATTCATGCTTGAAGGAATCTTAAAAGTTTATCAAACCCAAACCTCAGATTTTACAGATGAAGAAGCTGAGGCCAAGCCAGCAGCAACTGAACTGTCCAGAGCCACAGCTGGCAGATAGCAGAGCTGGGATTAGATTGCTAGTAACCTGGCTCCACCCTGCACCTCTACTCTGCCTCTCTGGGCTGGAACTAGAACCCAGTTCTTCTGACTTTGGATTTAGTACTCATACCACTCTCCTGTGTTGCTTTATTGAAAATCCAAGAATCCAGCTGTGGGGATAAGGTCTACATCCATGAAACGACTGAAAACCAGCATGTGATATGGAGAAACCATAAGAACAGGAAACTGCCTCACCACAAGTGAAATGCCCAGATCTCACTCTTTGCTACCTGTTAATAGTGTTTATTGATCAGCAATTTTTTTTTCAGACATTGACAGCCCCCAAAACCTGGTGACTGACTGGGTGACAGAGAATATGGCCACTGTCTCCTGGGACCCAGTGCAGGCCACTATTGACAGGTATGTGGTGCGCTACACCTCTGCCAAGGACGGAGAGACCAGGGAGGTTCCGGTGGGGAAGGAGCAGAACAGCACTGTCCTGACAGGCCTGAGGCCTGGTGTGGAGTACACGGTGCACGTGTGGGCCCAGAAGGGGGCCCAGGAGAGCAAGAAGGCCGACACCAAGGCCCAGACAGGTAAGGAGCATTGTTCTTTGGGAATATAAGAGCTTTCATGCTAAGTCAATGGATGACAAGTTTTGTTTTCCTTCTCCGACATTGCCAGAAATCAATGATTAATGGAAGAGTGGGATGGCGTCCATCCTTTCATAACAGATTACACACACCATCCCTCGTTTTCCTTTAACTAGTTTCCTTGCAAGTCAGGGCCACATGGCAGTCTCCAAGCTATGGTCATGTCCATCAGCTCCTCTTCTGATTGCATGGATCTTTTGCCGTAGACAGTATCAAGGGTCTCTTAGTGAGTCTGTGAGTGGGAACAGAAAATGAAAATCAAATTTTGTCAATAGTATACTGAAAATTTGACTTTAAGAATGTAGATGTCACATCTGCCATAGCAAGGAGATGTATATCATTTGGTTTATGACAAATGAATCATATTATAACTATAAAACAAATTTATAACTAGAAATTATGCTAAGTTCTATGAAGGGGATGACACGGTGTAGGTGTAGAGAATAATGAAGTAGTGATGTTTCTCAGATAGGATGGGTAAATAGCAATAGGATACACATGACCAGAACAACCAAATAACTGTTGCTTAAACAAGAAAAGAGCATGTTCCCCTCTGTGGAACAGCAGAGTATACATTGGCCAGAGTTTTGAGGATAAGGACAGCTCTTGCGTTATATTCTTATTTTAGTGGAAGCGATATCTAACCATATTTTGTACCATGATTTAATCAGCAAACCAGCATGATGAGTGAATCTATGATATACTAGAGAATATTCACCCAGGGTTTTGCTTTTTGCTGATTTATTTAATAATATATAGTAAGTACTTTCCATGTGTCCTGCCCACTACTAGGCACTGGGAACACAGGAGAATAGGATGCTGCCCTTTTCCTCCAGGGGCTTATATTTAGGGGTGGCTTTTAGAATCTTCTAGTATGAAATAGGAGGTCTTTACTGACATGATGCCAGACACAAAATTGTTAGTTCCTTGTGAGCAGAGACCATGTATTTCCCAACTCTGGATTCTGCACACTGTCTAGAACATTTCGTGCATAGAGTTGGGGCTTGATATACCCTTTCTAGATGAATAAAAGATTTGTTTTGCTAAAGACTTGGTAGAGGTAACAGCCTGGATTTTCAGTTTCTGATCTATTTTGCTTTTTACTTGAGGAGCCTGATGTATCTCCGGGGAGAAGATGATGTCCATGAACCAGCTAAAAACAAAACAAGAGCATATGAGGCGGAAACCCCATAAAACATGAAAGGGTTTCACCCCACGCAAAATGGTCATGAGTTTCTGCACTCTGGGACCGGTTCATAGTGCATATTGATCAGCATTTTTTTTTTTCCAGACATTGACAGCCCCAAAAACCTGGTCACTGACCGGGTGACAGAGAATACAGCCACTGTCTCCTGGGACCTGGTGCAGGCCACCATTGACAGGTATGTGGTGCGCTACACCTCTGCCAATGGAGAGACCAGGGAGGTTCCAGTGGGGAAGGAGCAGAGCAGCACCGTCCTGACGGGCCTGAGGCCGGGCGTGGAGTACACGGTGCACGTGTGGGCCCAGAAGGGGAACCAGGAGAGCAAGAAGGCTGACACCAAGGCCCAGACAGGTAATAGGAGTGAAGAGAAGAGCAAACCGGGGTAGTTAATGCAGTTTGATCTATTGCAGCTGAGTGGTGATGCAGCTGCTTTTGGCATCTGTAACCGCAGGGCTGCAGAGTGTTTTAGGAGAGTTTGCTGTAAAAAAACAAAACAAAACAAAACAAAACAAAAACTTTCATTCACCTAAAGAAAGAACAAAGTGTTACAGAATACAGGAAAGGGGTCCCAATCCAGACCCTTAGAAAGGGTTCTTGGATCTCATGGAAGAAAGAGTTCAGGGCGAGTCTATAGAGTAAAGTGAAAACAAGTTATTAGGAAAGTAAAGGAATGAAAGAATGGCTACTAGCCATAGGCAACGCAGCCCCGAGGGCTTCTGGTTGTCCATTTTTATGGTTATTTCTTGATGATATGCTAAACAAGAGGTGGCTTATTCATACCTCCCCTTGTTAGACCATACAGGGTGACTTTCTGACATTGTCATGGCATTTGTAAACTGTCATAGCACTGGTGGGAGTATAGTAGTCAGGATGACCAGAGGTCACTCTCATTGCCATCTTGGTTTTGATGGGTCTTGGCTGCCTTCTTTACTGCAGCCTGTTTTATCAGCAAGGTCTTTATGACCTGTATCTTGTGCCGACCTCCTGTCTCATCCTGTGACTTAGAATGCCTTAACTGTCTGGGAATGCAGCCCAGTAGGTTTCACCCTTATTTGACCCAGTTCCTGTTCAAGATGGAGTTGCTCTGGTTCAAGCGTGTCTGAAAAACTACAGTACTGGACCCAGTGGGAGCAGTCCCACGAATGTCTTTTCCCACAAATGTCTTATAACTCTTTCCAAAGCCTGTGTTTTCAATCATTGTGTCTCTCAGCTATAGACAATTATAGAAAATAATGTAAAACCAATATAAAATTCTTAAAACCACTGATTAAAAACCTGTTTTGTGGCAAGCTATTTTGTGTAGGTTTGACAGAATAGACGCTGTGTGATAGAAAGGAGTAAGTATTCACCTGGGCGGCTGGAGCCTTGTTTCCTTGCAGTAGGCAACTGACTTAATGAGCATCGTCTAAGTGCCAGGCCTGGGGAACACAGTGCCGAACAAAACAAATATCTCTACTCTCTTGAAGTCTAGTGTGAAGATAGACAATAAATAAGAAAACACATTTAAACTCGTAAATTGTGCTAAATTCTCTGAAGGAGATGAACATGGTATAGGTATAGAGAATTACAGGGTAAGGATGTCTTGTAGATGGGAAGGGTGAGTAGTAATAGGATTGCTATGCTATTGCTATACATTGACAGAAACACTCAAACAGCAGTTGCTTCAGCAGGAAAGGAGTGTATTCCTCTCTGAAGAATGGCCAGGGCTGATACGGTCACTCCTCATCCAGGAGACCCAGGCTGCTTCTGTGATTGTTGCTTAGTCATCCCTAGCAAGTTGCCCTCCTTTACCTGGTCACCACCCTGTCTGCATTGTAGCCAGTGGGAAGAGGCATGCTGAAGGTCAGGGCATCACTGGGGCATTGTACACATCAGCCCTTCTCATGTTCCATTGCCAGGTCCCAGACAGACCTCACTGCACAAAAGGCTAGGAAATGAGGTCTTTAGCTGGATGGCCCTGTGCCCAGCTTTACTTCAGTTATGCTGTCCTGTCCAACACAGCAGCTGCTAGCTACATGTGGCTATTAAAATTATTTTTATTTTTATTTTATTTTCAGAGACAGGGTCTCTTTCTGTTAGCTAGGCTGGAGTACAGTGGTTTTATCACTGTTCACTGCAGGCTTGACCTCCTGGGCTCAAGCCATCCTCCCACCTCAGCTTCCCAAGTAACTGGGACCATGGGCACATGCCTCTAAGCCTAGCTAATTTTTAATTATTTTTAGAGATGGGGTCTCACTATATTGAACTCCTGGGCTCAAGTGATCCTCCTGCCTCGGCTTACAGGCCTGGGATTACAGGCATGGGTCACCATGCCCAGCCTAAATTTTAATTAATTAAAAATAATTAAAATAAAAAATTTTATTATTTGGATTAGCCACATTTCAAATGTTCAGTAGCCACATGTGACTAATGGCTACAGTATCGGACTGTGCCGATCATAGAATACTTTCATCATTGCAGAGAGATCTGTTGGACAGTGAGTATGCTTACAGAAGAAGGGGGAGAATGGATGTTGGCGAAAACTAGCCGTTTCTGGCAGAGGGAAGAGTATGTGTGATGTCCCTCAGCTGGAACAGTACCGGGGATGGCTGGAAAATGAAGAGAGGCTGGTTTTGCTGGAGCATAGTAGGTGGGAGAGCAAGTAGCCTGAGATGAGGTGGGAGGAGCAGGGGCAGGTCAGCCAGGACCGTGTGGTGCTTAGAGGACTAAGTGGGCTATATTTATTAATACTAGAAGTGATATGATGCAGTGTTCATTTAAAAAACACTTTCCAGGCCACAGTGAGGAGAATAAATGGATAAAATGACCTAGGATAGAAGTGGTGAGATTCGTAGAGAAGCTGCTAGAAAAGTCTGGGTGCAAAATGCTGATTGTCTAGATAAGTGTGATGGCAAAAGGGATAGAGAAGAGGGGATGTCTGGAATATATTTTTGAGGTATGGATGATAATACCTGTTGATAGATTTGAGGTAGGAAGAAAATGAGGACTCAGGTATGACCTGTGTGATTTATTTGAGCAACATGGGAGATTGAACTACCATTTCTTGAGAGGGGAGACTGAGAAATAAAAAGTTTGGGGAGGAACATCAAGACTTTTAAATATTTAAGTTCAAGATACTTGTGAGATTCCTTGTTAGTTGATTGATTCATTTATTGATTACATAAATATGTATTGAGTGTCTAATACAGGCCAGGCACTGTGGTGGAGATGCAGTTGTATAAACTAGTGAGGGGCTCAGAATTAATAGATATTGTGGAGCGATTAGCATCTAGTTGGTATTTAAAGCCACGGGCATGAGTGAGATCACCTAGGCGAAAAAGCAGAGAGAGGAAAAGAGGGAGCTTTGGGACAGGTGCAGTGGCTCTCACCTGTAATCCCAGAATTTTGGGAGGCCAAGGTAGGTGAATTGCTTGAGCTCAGGAGTTTAAGACCAGCCTGGTGAAATCCTGTCTTTACAAAAAAAATACAAAAATTGGCTGAGTGTGGTGGCATGCACCTGTATTCCCAGCTACTCAGGAGGCTGAGATGGGAGGATTGTTTGAGCCTGGGAGGTCAAGGCTGCAGTGAGCTATCATGGCACCACTGCTCTCCAGCTTGGGTGAAAGAGCGAGACTCTGTATCAACAAAACAAAACAAAGCAAACAACAAAGAAAGGGAGCTTTGGGTGCTCCAGTGTTTGAAGGTTACTGACAAACGACTGAAGAAGAGCCAGTGAGTTAGGAAAATCAAGGGAGTGTGTAGTCACGGAAGCTGAGGGTTGACAGTGTTTCAAGAAGGAGGGCGTGGATCAGCTCTGCCAAATGCCACCAGAAGCAGTGTAAAGTTGAGAAAGGCAAGTATCCATTAGAGGTGGCAATACAGATGTTGTTGGTGACTTAGACTAGCAGATTTAGTTGTGTGGCATAGAAAGATGCAAACACGATTGATTGGAGAGTAAGCAGTGAAGTTGGGTATGTAGACATTTCTCTTGAGACAATCTGTCAGTTTAGGGTTGCAGAGAAATGGAATGATATGGGGGAGGATGGGGGATTCTAGACCTTGCTTGTCTGGGACTGATGACAGAGAAGAAGAGATTGATGACACAGGAGAGAAAGGGCAGATCTGCAGCAAAGTCCTTGAGAGTGTGGGAGGGCCCAAAATTCAGAGTGAAGAGTCTTGGCTTTAACATAAGATGTCAACAGGAACTTAGCCTGTATCTCCATTTCCCTGGGCCTGCATTCTCCTCCTGTTTTATAAGTCAGAAAGGTTGGAGGATATGACCTCGGCTCTCAAAGTAACTAGATACCAGGGAGATCAGAAAAGAGGTTATATCCACAGCAGTTTTGGTGGCTCGTCTTGTTGCTTAGCAAGTTTTACTGTTATTTTGATGAGAATTACAAGGACAGAAATTTTTTATGTATAAAAACTGGGAGAAGATCTGATTCCTTCCAGTTTTATGTCCAGTGGTTTGTTTCCTTGGAAATGGAGACCAGGGGCCTTTGACTGGTGTTTTAAGTAGAATTCTACCATTATTAATGATAACATGATGGAGAGCTCCTGGCGATGGGATGGTAAGATGGGATGCCATCCTTTGTTCTAAAGTTCAGCATTTTCTAAATCTTTTTAAAAAGAAATTGACAGCCCCAAAAACCTGGCGACTGACCAGGTGACAGAGAATATGGCCACTGTCTCCTGGGACCCGGTGCAGGCCACGATTGACAAGTACGTGGTGCGCTACACCTCTGCGGATGGAGAGACCAGGGAGGTTCCGGTGGGGAAGGAGCACAGCAGCACTGTCCTGACGGGCCTGAGACCGGGCATGGAGTACATGGTGCACGTGTGGGCCCAGAAGGGGGACCAGGAGAGCAAGAAGGCCGACACCAAGGCCCAGACAGGTACTGAGAGGGACCAGGCCAGGGGAACCCCTCGCACTTACCAGGAGAGAACCTTCCTCCATGGGCTGGGGAAGGGAGCAGGAGTGTGGTTGCTTTACCCGAGGGCATTCTTCAAAGTGGTTCCTTTTTTATGTCTTTGAGATAATTAAGTTGACCCAACAGCACAGCTAAGAGAGTGTAGAGGGAGTGCTGGTATCAAAGGCGGCCTCCCTCACCCCTCCACCTGGCCCAGCGCTCAGACTCTCCACACTTGCTATGGAGAAAATGGTTGGGCCTTAGCTGCAGTTGGGAGAAGATAGAGGCAGGAGCCTCTTCTGTTTCCATCTTCCACAATGGAGGCAAAGGGGGTGCATCTTTCTCCTTTCCATCCTCAGTTGATGAGGAAAGGCAGCTGAACTGCATGTATTTTGTGTATGTGATGGGGCCTCTGGTCTTGGCGGAGCATCAGGGAGGTCAGAACCCAGAAGCACTTGGAAGACAGCACTGTGCCCACCCTAAGGTCTGTGGGCCTCTTCAGGCAGTGCAGGCAAGGTCTGTCCATTCCATCCATGGTTGAATGCACCAAATGTTGCCACGGGACCTAGAGATGTCTTGAATTTCTCTATGATCTTTATTAGTTAAAATTAGCTTGCATTTTTAATCTAAAAAGTAATATATGCTTGTAGTAAATATTTTCAAACTAAACAGAGATGTGTTAAAAAAAAAAAAAATGGCTGGGCACGGAGGCTCATGCCTGTAATCCCAGCACTTTGGGAGATCGAGGCGGGCGGATCATCTGAGGCCAGGAGTTTGAGACCAGCCTAACCAACATGGAGAAACCCTGTCTCTACTAAAAAGACAAAAATTAGCCAGGTGTGGTGGCAGGTGCTTGTAATCCCAGCTACTTGGGAGGCTGAGACAGGAGAATTGCTTGAACCCAGGAGGAGGAGGTTTCAGTGAGCCAAGATTGCACCATTGCACTCCAGCCTGGGCAACAAGAGCGAGACTCCATCTCAAGAACAAACAAACAAACAATTCTTCTCTCTGTCCTGGACTCCCTAGTACGCAGTGTTGCTCTCCAGATGCAACCAGTAGCCAGTTCTCCCTCCTTCCCTTTATCCCACTTCCTACCTCCTTCTCCCCTTCCTTTCTCTGTTCCTTTCTCCCTTATTCCTTTCTTCTCCTCTTTCTTCTTTATCTTCTCTTGGTTTCACCTTCTCCATTTTTGAAGACAGCAATAAAAAAAATTCTTATTTTCCTGCTTCATAGAAATGTGAAAGTAACTAAGACAGACATCTCAAGTCCCTAACCAGGGGGTGGTGGGCAAAGAGGTGGCAGGAGATTGCTTAAGATATTAAAATAGCCACAGTTTTGCCTTGATTATGAAATCAGAAAATTCAGTTTTTCTGTAAGACGACTAGAATAAAATCCATGCCAGATGTTATGCTTTAGAAAATCAAACCAAGTTGATATTACAGAAACTCAAAATTTGTCAAAACATACTAATTCAAAACAACAGCTGTCTGATTTCTATTAAAATACTGCAATTCAGTTCTCAGCTGAAATGCTACTGGGTAGAAAATAGCCTGGAGGCGTCTTTTTGGGAAGTTCTAAATTAAGATAACCTTCTGTGATAATGCTTTTTCAAAAGAGAAATTTCCATTCATATCTTCTTTGGTTAAAAAAAAAAAAGGCTTCTGACCAGTTATGATGTTGACTAGTATTTTTACTGAGCTTTCGTTTTCCTGGTCTACAGTGCACACTTGCTTACCCACACTTGCTTACACACTTGCTTTCCCTCTAGTGTTTGGGTGAGGAAGTACATAGAAGAAAAGCTCTGCTTTTCCTATATCCCTTCTCTTTCCCTCCTCCCTCCCCCACCTCTTCCTTTCTTCTCTTCTCCTTCCTTCCTTCCCTTCCTTCCTTCCTTCCTTCCTTCCTTCCTTCCTTCCTTTTCTTCCTTCCTTCCTTTTCTTTCTTTCTTTCTTTCTTTCTTTCTTTCTTTCTTTCTTTCTTT